ACAAAAGTAAATTTAACTCATCGTATGTTGAGTCACAGTTAGTGCCCGGGGTTAGCGCACTGTGAGTAAAGAGTCCCTCTACATCTTAGTCTTGCATTCGTCATACACCCCCGCCTCCCTGAGGAGTCATGACTTCTCCCAAGGTTTTGTGCGCCAGGCTTGAAGTTGCGACTGGAGGACTGGGATAAGTCTTATGGAGAAAGACAATAATAGCACAAAACGCGAGGCATTGAGTCTTAGAATCGAAGTTCAAAACTATACGCTATTGTCTTACTATTGAGCCATCAAATTTGCTTAATCCAAGTGCCAGTTGCACAAGTGCCGATTAACGTTTATTGGTTGGGATTAGAACTGAATTGGGGTTTTGAACAAATTTCTGTTCTATTGGGAGTCTTATGTTAGTTAAAGTCGCATTTTAAGGGCAACTGATATAAACAGCAAAACGCACGAAATGTTACAAAATGTTACAAAAAGGAAATCAAAATTCGCGATAATACTTAATCAGTGTTTTAAATAATTAGGCATTTTATTAATTTTTAATTATTCTTTATTCAGAGGCCACCGGTTCATTAGTTGAACAAACTATTATACGCTAACCTCGGGCCTTTATCGTCAAGATAAATGATATAAAACTAAGATGCTAAATAGAAAACGCTACCGTGTGGGAAAAGAAGGTAAAGCGTCCTAAGTCGATGCAATATGCGTGGAAAATACAACAAAAGGTTTGCTAGAGAATTTTAGCCGCATGATGTACAAATTATCTCTTAAAATTTCTTCACAACTACTTCAACGAAAAATGTACAACCGTTTGTTTTAGGATGTCAAAAAAACACACCTTTTTGAATTCAAAAATCCGGTTAGCATACAATGTCGAGAGAGAAATATAACAAGAAAAAAATGATCTCTGTAGTATTATACTAAGACACAACCACGTAAGGGAGTCACTACCAGCTAGGTGCCGAAGTACCAAACTGAGGAAAGTCTCACTGCTCACTTTGCAAATTGCTACTGTCATGATATATAAACAATAGCCTCCATTTGGCGCGGAAATATGCCCGGATATTTGTTCCGCAGATATTATCTGTTTTGAGAAGTGAACATTTTCCCGAGAGCGTAGCTTGAGGAAAATTGTGAGTCTCGAGGAACAGATAATGTCCAAGGACAAATATCGGAGCATATTTTCGCGCCAAATGGAGGCTTTTGTGTTTATTATCCTTCAAATAGGTTTCGCAACACGCGTGGTTTTGAAATTTGGGGAATATCACCTGGATGTTCCCCAGTTTTAGCTGGGGACTCTTCAGTCACGTGATCCGTTTAGACCAATCGCACGCTAGCGAAAATATTTAATGGCTTATAAGTTTGGACAGGAGCCCATCACCTGGTTTGGATATCAAGTCGCTGAAAAACTGATCGTACCTTACGTTTCGGCAGCATATCAGGTTTGTTTGGATTAGAAATAATTAGTGCATTTACTGGGTGTCACTTTGGAATAAAGTAAGCTAAATCAGATCATGTAAACTGCAACAATTTCGAAAGAAATCAATATATTAATTGATTATCCATTAATTATTTACCTACCAACAATTAATTTGTTTATTTTTTAAAAATCAATTAGCTATTCCACTAAGCGATTTTCGAATTAAATCGATATATTAATTGATTATCTATTAATTATTTAAAAATCAATTCGTTATTCAACTAAGCGATTTTCCAATTAAATCAATATATTAATTGCTTATCTACTAATTATTTATTGATTATCTACTAATTAATTAAAAATCAATTGATTTGCTTATTTTTTTAAAAAAATTCAATTAGTCATTCCACTAAGCGCAGGAATATCATTGCCAGCCTTAAACTCCCGTTTTGATAGAATTTCAGAGAGATTCCGATCACTATCATCAACAAAAGAAAGTATAAGCGGTAAACGTTATGTTACTTTAATAGTAACTTTGGTGAGCTCAGCATGACTGTTGCCTGAAAATTGTCCTAGCTTTCACGACATATTACATACTAAAACAAATCTCCTTTCACCCTATCTAAGACGGGACAACCTACTTACTAACAAACAGATCATTTACAGATCTTCAAATGCCTTAAAATCCCGCGGCCCAGGAACGCTTTCTAGGGTCTGCTTTGCCGTAAAGTTTCCCATCAGGATTTGTGGCTGCAGCCTGCACGACTGCGTAACCGGTTTTGTTCCTGACCTCGTGCCCAAGCCTCTGTAGGCCTTCTTGGATGGCGAGGGACATGGGATAATCTTCGTCAATACGAATGTACATCGGAAGTAACTGATGATGGAGCCTGGGGTCAACGACAGATTGTGACAGAGTTTGGTTGAACCAGAGGTAATTCATCACAACCTAAATCAGTGTAAAATATATAGATACAGGTATATTGTCAGGTGCAATCTAGAGAAAAAGGCATAATAATGAGTATATTTGTATCTGAGAAGGATTTTCGGTTTAATAGAAAGAACAAGTCGAGCAACGGAAGGCATTCGTGTTTTAAAAGTTGTTACAAGACTTATAATTGCACTGAAGTCAAATCACAACTTCGTTTGTGTGTTACACTTTTCTGTGCTTCTGCTATACATGAAAGCTTCCCTCCGAAGGCAATCAGAATTTCGTATTTTCAAGAGCATAATCACAATTTTGATTCAACGTGTATCTTGTGCTCATATCTTCTCGCTTCTCCGAAGATAATATCATGGGTGGCAATTTACTCCTTAATTTTGGCGCGAAACTAAAGCTTGATTCATTACCCATGATACTACTCGTGAAATTAGGAAATATTTTCACTGGTCACCATTTGATAACGCGTGTGAACATCAAGTAAAATTGCTTATTTTTTCCGTGATCACGTTCTTACTACACCATCTTGTTTCAATTCATAGATTACCCCGTTACTTTGAACGCGATGGTGTACGATAGCTAACGTTTTGTACAATTCTTCTAAAACTTGAAACGTCCTCTGATTAAACAAGAAACAAGAAAAATTTGATAGCTAACCATACAGAAAGAATTCTGTATCTAAGGAGAGCAATGAAAAAAACATTCGTTGTCTTATTCTCCTAACGATCAAAGTCTTGTTAGAAATTGCAATCTCGTATCTCGAGTCTTCGTTCCTTACTGCTCATGCTGGCTTGACGCTCGTTTTCCGACCGCTGGTCAGTGGGAACGAGGACACTGGGTACGAGGGAGAGAAAACATCAAATAAAATAAAACACAAAACCTCACCAGGGATATGGCAGTTGTTATCTTCGTGCCACCCGACGCCCCAACCACTAAACGAGGAACCCCTTCTTTGTCCAGAAATATGGTAGGGGACATTGAAGACATGGGTCGTTTAAAAGCCTCAATAAAGTTACTCTCCGAGGGCTCCACGCCAAAAGCGTTCTTTTTACCCGGAGTGGAGAAGTCGTCCATTTCGTTGTTATAAATTATACCAGTACGCGTAGAGCGATACTTTGAGCCAAAGCTGAAAGTTAACACAAAAATGTAAAATTACTACGAGAAGACAATAGTAATTCGGAATAAACTGAATTTAATTTTAAAAGGTTGTTATTGTAGGATAGCTGTGTGTTGGTATGTAGATTTGATGTGTCGCTATTCTGAAGGCGAAAAACGTCCTAACACGGACAACTGGTGCGTTTTAGAGAGGGAAGGATGTTAAATGATGAGGCATATAACTTAAGAAATGACTGTCTTAAAGGGGCTCAGTCAGAGTTGAGGTTCTTTGGCCACGTTCAAAATTACCTTTAAGTTGAAGAAAACCTGAAAAGAATAGTTAACATAGGAAAAAACACACTAAAAATATAATAATATACACGGCATAAAGGAACACGGATGATTAAGGATGGAGAGGATTAACTCGGATTACGAACGACGATCTTGAAGCCTTTGGTCTAGACTTTTCAAGTTGCACAAACCGTGACGCACTTCCTTTACATAACGATAGAAAAGGCAGTGAAATATAAGCAAAATACGAGGAAAAGTCATTCCAGCCTACGAGGCAACTCTCCATTAGTGGGATAGCGGACTTGCTCTCAAGATAAAGTCACTCTAGAACGACTTGAGTAAATGAAGGACTCCTTCTCCAACCCTTCCGCATACCATACACCCACTAGCTTCCTACGCATGCGTTCTCATCGTTCATCACGCAACCCTCCCCAAGCCAAGATTGCATGACAAGAACAAAGGGAGTCTATGTAGGTCCCAGACTTCTGTCAAACAAATCGCGTCACGTAACTCTCCCCAAAGAAAGATTACGTCACGAGCTCAGAGAGCGTCTATGTAGGTCCCAGACTTCCGTCAAACAAGCTTTCGATGATACATACTAAAGGTTTATCGTGTTGGTGGCGGCGACCGCATCGCCGTCCGGGGAAATAACGGACATGCTCGATGTCCCTCCGGTACCGATGCTCGAATAGAAATCTCCGTAGTATGTAAAGTTGAGGAAGGTTCGGTTATCGTAGATCTTCTGCCTAAGACTTTCACCGAACGCGGTGTCAGTCATATTTACGACAATCTGAAAACAAAAACAAAAACAAAAACATCAGAGAAAACCTTAGAAGAGCGAGAATTTGAATGAAACTTTTAATAGAATTTTGAGTACGTGAAACGAAAATCTGAGCTCGGAGAAATAGTGGAAGGTTTCGCCAAATTAAACGGTAGGACGCTGGACAAAACTGTTAATAATCAAAAACTTAAAACAAGCATTACGATAGTGACGCAAATAATTTTGTGATTGTCCTAAACCTTCAAGTGTTAAATTCCACACGTGGAAAGTAATTTTCATACAGATCACGCAAGAACAGCGTGTTTAAATTTGGTAACGTGCAGGTTCAAGGAGCTCTGTCACGGTATTTTGGCCATGTACAAAATTACCTTTGAATTGAAGGAAACCTTCAAATAGTAGTTTACTAAGATAGAAGAACACCAAAGAGATAATAATAAACCATAAAAGAACAAAGATGGTTAAGTATGGACGAGATTAAAACGGTTTATAAACGACGAACTTAAGCTAATTTAAAATTTAAGCTAAACTTCTCAAGGCGCGCAAACCGTGACGTAGCTAGGGAACTACTACGGCAAACTACTGCTGCAATAGCAACGAAAAGTCGCCATAGAGAGAAGGATCTAAATCAATTCTGAACAATTGCTGGAATTGCTCCAAGCTATCTATTTTATCATCTCTCTACATCTACTTTTTATGACGACGACCCCGGCTTAAGCCCGTGCCTCTAGCTTCGACTTAAACGATCGATTGAATAATGAAAATCGGACGTTCTACCAGTCCTCCAGGGAAGACTAGCAAAAACAGCACTGGAGAATAACACTTGGACTGAGGCAACGTGTCAACATTGCTACAGAGACTTTTCAGTATCCATGCATGAAGGGCTTACCTCATCAACGTCCCAGAAATCTTCGTCCCCAAGAAGTGCTCTGTAAGCATAAGCAAACTTGAAAGCTTCCACTATTCGATGGTAAGTCAGCACCGAGCTGTTGATATCTTTGCGGTCAGCTCCAGTCATATTGTAACCTGCAAGATATGAAATAACCACGTTATTTACTTATTTATTTATTTTCTTCGATAGCTGTAGTTTCAGTAACTGCAGTATTTTGGTTTAAAACGACTCGTAGAAGTAACTTCATTATGACGTTACATTTGTACACCTTTGATGCCAGAGAAAGCATAGCGAAAGAACCCTGGGTAGCAAGCGTTCCCGCCATTTTGGGGCGCACAGAAATTGAGGCGAGAACAATTAATATTGAGGAGAAGAGGGAAAAGGCGCTCCAATTTTCGCGCGGCCAAATTAAAATGCGCAAAACACTCCTAATCGTATGGGAGCTCTTACTACACAGGCTATTGCAAAAGTAAGGTGTTTTGCTCAAGAATAAACTGCAAGCAAGATTTCTTGGCAGCTCTTAGAGACCCTTGCCGCTACTGTGCAAGCTGGTAAGAGAACGTAATCGTCAACCGTCAACATAACTATTGGGTCTTTCCTGTACAGCCATTGGACTTACTGCACTGCAAACGACTCACAATTACGCACCAAATAATCAAACAGAACCACGTGTCACATTTCTTAACATATAAGGCTGATTTGAGCAAACAAGTACATCAACATCTCATGATAATTACCTTTTAAAATATTAAGTATTAATGACAAAACAGCCCCACTGCCGGGAGGAGGGTTAGTGTACCACGTGTAATTTCCCATTTCTGCTCTCAGCGGCTCACGGACTGTCACGGTGTACTGTTTCATGTCCTCCAGGGTAATTATGCCACCGTTCTCCTGGACGTCTTTGACTATGTCCTTGGCCAATTCACCGGTGTAGAAGCTCTCTGGATTATCGCGAATTATCTCCAAGGTTCTGGCAAACTTGGGCATTTTTAAAACAGAACCCAACTTCTTTAAATTCCCTTCTGCGTCTAATAGCAATTGACTGCAAAGAAATAATAATAATTCTCCTCACTGACTATCTCAAATTCCTTTTAATACATCTGTACTGGCTTTGAGAATTAAAGTCTGAATACGAACCAAGTGGCCCATTAGGCGACTAGGAGTAATTCTACTCCCCCCTGGATGGGATGCTAGTCCATCGCCGGGTTACCCCCAGCATTAAATTCGCCGGTACCCATTTATATATACACCTGGGTGGACAGAGGTACCGTGAGAGTAAAGAACGCAACACAATGTCCTCGGCCAGGGCTCGAACCGAACTCCTCGATCCGGAGACCAGCGCACCAACCATGAGGCCATCACGTCTCCGGAGTTGAGAATTAGTAATGTTCTTTACATCGAGGGAGAAATGATCCAACCATGGCCACGGTTGAAAGAACTTTTACGGTGAAATGAATAAATTAAAAAGAAAATGAAGTTAAGAAGATTAGGTAAAGTTGTCTACTCTATCTAACAGTCCCGAAGATAACCTGAGATCCGACGAGTATTGAACCGAAGATTTCCAATGATTGCCGAATATGACCGAAAATTGTCGAACATTGACGAAGGTGATCCGAAAACCCTGGAAAACATTCAAAACTGACTTTATCACTTCCAACAGAAGCATATCACCTATTAGGTGATATGCTTCTGCTTCCGATGAATAAAAGCTGCGGCACGGTTACCGTAAAATAGCTTCTGTAATAAA